GCACTAGGAGTAGGATGAATCACTTGAAATTTTAAGCAACACAAAATTTTTTAAAGAATTTTTAATAGAAAGTGATTTGAAAACTTAAGTACACAATGGAAACCTAACTCTAAGAAATTTGCTAGAACTAATAGCAAATTATGAACTCAAAAAGGTAAAACAAACCGAGACCAAAATGTAGACAAACAATTCAAAAGAAAACTAGGTTAAACATGTTATTCAAGGAATTTGCAACATATAAGGACTAAACATAAACTACTAAGAGAAAATAAGGATTCAAAAACAAAAATCTAATGCAAATGTATGAGGTCCAATCACGGACACATGCAAGGAGATGAGAGACTCAAACAAATACAAAATAAGCACAAGAAAATAGGTCCTAAAACATGTTGATTGTGGAAGAATTCAAATACAATCAAACAATGGATCTATGGAACACAATTAATTCAAAAAAACTAGATCCGAAAAGAAACTCAAACAAGACACAAAAACACAAAGAATGATGAGGTTCCACTTGGAAATCCTCAAGAATTCCCTCAATGCTCCTCGGTTCCTTGGAAGATTGACAAGGAATGGAGGCTCCAAGAAGCTCCAATGTGACTCTAGCTTGCGTCTAGCTAAGTCCGGAAGAAGGAATGCTTTCCTAACTCTACAAGGAGAGGATCTCAAGTAGGGTAGAGTTTAGGAGAGTGACTTTCGGATAGGCAATTTCTATGGTAAGAAATCTCATCAATATATCATCCAAAAGTATCCTACAATCCGGCCATACAAGTATTTATAATAGAAATTAGGTTAAGGGTTTAACAAATAGAGTGCCTCTCAAATACAAATGCAAAAATATACCTATACAAGTATCTACTATATACAAAGTACAAGAAATCAACTATACAAGTATGAACAATGAAAACTCAAGAGACTAATAAGAGGAATCATAATCAATGTTCATGAGGAGCAAAGGTCTAAGAAGCACCTCCTCTGTAGAAGCCTCCTCTAGCTTCCTAACCATGGACCTAGTTAAAGGCCCAATGGTCTTCTAGTGTGAGCCTCCTTGGATCAACCTTCACCCCTCTTGGTCTTATCTCTTCCAAAGGGATCCTTGGGGATTAGATTTCCATCACATCTACTACCATCACCCTACCAAGGAAAAATTTATTAATAAGGATTTCATATAAAACCAGGATTCAACTCTATTGTTGTCACGAACAACATATATACAAGGCATAAATCTTGTGAATTAAAATGGAAGGCAGAAGTGCATTTAAGAGTAAATTCATAGATAGATCAATCAATGCATATACATAAACAATAGTACAAAATAGCAGTCATCCCACTATTCCGCAAAAGAAGTTTTGTAGTCAAACTCTCCACACAGCTATTAGGGATTGATCATTGTGAGTAAAATAGTTTCCACAAAATATTGGGTAAGAAACACAGATTTCATAACTAAGTTAACCATCATGCTATATGTGTCCAATAAGATCAAGTCATGCATAAGGACCATAAAAGTGGGCTCAGCTTATTTTATTTTCATAAATGTCGACACACACCACTGCTCCCGCACAGTATATGCCAAAAAAAAAAATCAAAGATAAACCAGAACAGTACCTTTACAAAATCACCAGCCTGAATCATAAAATCCTTAATAACTCTATGAAATTGACAACCCTTGTAACCAACAGGCAGTCCTACTTTCCTGCCAACAAAATCAGATCATATAAAGTATTCGTTGACTTAAACCTACCCAGCAATGAGGCATACAATATAGAACCATTTGTGAAAATAAATCAGAGGGAGGTAAAATCAAAAACTAATTCAACACCACTACCAATCCAAAAGTTGTTGTTAAATCAAAAAATTAGATACAAGTGGCTAAGCCAAACTATCATAACTATCATGACTATCATGACTTCAAACGTATTTGTATAAATATTTTGCACAGAAGTCATATGTTCTTGAAAAACTTTTGTACAAACCGTTGAATTTTATGGTTCACATACTTTTTTCCAATCAAAACCTGGATGTGAGAATTGTCCCCTGGCAAAAGCCAACCAGCATCATTTGTTTTAAATTTACATTTTAATTATAGGATAGAAGGTTGCATTGATATCTGTAACCCATAGTCACATCTGACTAATAATTCAATGATCATCTCATCAGGTCATTTCATCATAGTAGATCAAAACCATCATAACTATCATGACTTCAAACGGAAATTTTAAAAATAAAAAAATGAAAAGAGATGGAAAACCACAATAGGGCTAGGCTGGAAAAGACTATTTCACTACCTGTACTCCCCAGTGCAGAGCTGCCTGCCAAATAACAAAAGACAAATTCATCAATTGAAAAGGGCATGAACTTGTCAACAAAAGAGAATCTCAATCCAATAACCATTAATAAGCATTCACGAAAAAAAGAGTCCAAAATATAGTTTAAGGAAAATAAGTAGTCTTCCTAAAGTAATCAAATCATCTATACTATTCTTTTTTTTGTTTTCATTGGTTCACGCAATTCTCCAAACCGACAACTAAAGACTAATTTGTGTTATCGGGATGTGATTTCCGTTAGCCAAATTTATTTTAACACATTCAAAAAACGAACCAGAGACCACCCGGTCGACCCCTTGAGTCCCTCTATACTATTTTACAAGCACTCAAGCTTCCAAACATGCATTACATTTAAAACACATTTTTCAATGGTGTTGTCATGTAACTGTAAGGCGAAACTCGAAATTCTTAAACAGTATGTTGGTGGAAGTTGATTCTGAACATGATAACAGCAAGGAAAACTAAGAAGCAATGGTGAAAGGCAAAGAAGAAGTGAAAAATTAGCGGCGAAGTGAAGCCCAAAGCATTGTTACCTGAAATTCTCGGCAATTCTGGGCGCAATGTTGGCGAAGAGCTCCATCTTGATTCGACCGGCGGGAATGTTACCGATGGTGACATTGAAGAAGACGATGGGGTTCTTAGGGTTTGGAGGACGCACGTGCCACTCCACACCCGCGCTCGAGCTTAAGTTCCCTCCAACTGAACTAGCCATTCACTCAGCACAAAACAATTACAACAGGGATGCACGCTCGTCTTCTAAATGACTCAAAGTGAAGACCCGAGGGCAATAAAAACCAAATGGAATCGAAAAATGGCCCGAGGGTAAACTAATGTTTTACTTGCAGAACGGCCCGTACTGCTTGCAAAACGGCCCATTCTGCTTGCAGAACAGACCGTTCCATATTCGAAATTCGCCTAGCAACAACGAAACAAGAAACATGACAAGAGAATGTTACCTTGATATTGTATTCTTCCAAAAAAAATGAGAAGCTAGAGACTTTAGATGAGAGGCCAAGAGAGTAAAGAAAAGAATGGGGCCAAAGATTAAAGAGAATGGAGGGGAAGGGAGAATGGGACCGTAGACTTTAGATTAAGTTCTGACATTTTTAACATCGGCTATCTGTGAACCGATTTTGTATGTAGTTTTTAAAATCGGTTCTTAGATAGCCGATTTTAAAAGTATATTTAAGAACTGATTTTAAAAACTACATACAAAATCGGTTCATAAATACCGATGTTAAAAGTAACACTTTTAAAATCGGCTATTTAAGAGCCGATTTTAAAAGTAGCATCTGAGACCTTTAAAATCGATCATAAGGTAGCCGATTTAAAAAGTAATGTCATTATTTACAAAATTGTCACCACGTCACTTTTAAAATCGGCTACCTTATGACCGATTTTAGAACCCCGATTTTAAAAGTGATTTTTGTACTAGTGGCTCCATTGGGACAAGATGCTAAAGGAAAATCAAAATTTGTCATACGCCCGTAAGTGTTCAGTATACTTCATCTCCAAATCTTAATTATGGCTCCTGATCATGTATGTAACCTTCTGGCTGTCTTCACTCTTCAGTCTAAATAAAACCTTCTCGATAGTTCTATATTAAACATCAAAATGTGTTTTTACTTTTATTCTGAATGAGAATTTTTGTAATTTATCTTTAGATTATATATCTGTCTATTATTGTGAGCCATTGCAAAATAGTTCCTCATTTTCTTTTCTGTAGAAAAGTTAAATATATAATGGTTATAATAGGTGGTTTTACTGGATCTGGCCTTGGTGCAAGAAGTTTAGGATTGTCTCAGCAATGATTCTAGAAATCTTGTTTCTATGATTTGTGTACTAGTAAGCACCCTTTCGGTCATGCAATAGGCCGAAAGGGGTGCCCAAACTAATGAAACGCACCAATTGGCACCCCTTCGGTCGGACAATAGGCCGAAAGGGGGGCCCGAACCAAGGAACCACACCAATTGACCCCTCAGGTCAGGCAATAGACCGAAAGGAGTGCCCTAGCCGATGAAACACATCACCCCCTTCGGCCCCGAGTTTGGCCGAACACCACCTCGGCCTCAGGCTTGGCCGAACACTCCCTCGGTCTCGTGGGTAGCCAAAAACCCAAAGAGAAGGGATCTGAAGCTATTCAAAACACCCCTTCGGCCCCAAGCTTAGCCGAACACCCCTTCGGCCCCAAGCTTGGCCGAACACCCCTTCGGCCCCAAGCTTGGCCGAACACCCCTTCGGCCTTATGCTTAACCGAAAACCTGAAGAAAGAGCCTATGATAAACACGTGGCAAGCCAAATGCCTACTATGCATTAATTACCATACCAGATTAAGACAGGATTAAGGTTAAGTCATGTATTACCCATCTCCCAAGGATGAAGGCCCATCAGGCCCACATATGTCACTATAAATATACAGGTGGTGTGACATAAATGAGGTACGTTACTATTCCCGCTAAGGCATTTATTGCTCTGAACCGAACACTGACTTGATCGTCGGAGTACCCTTGCAGGTACCCTCCCCCGCCACTCGGAGCTAGTGTTCAGTCGGTACGGAAGACTCAGAAGGACTTGGAGGTAGCTAGGAAGGATCAAGGAGAGGAGTGTTCTTACGCAAGAACATTTTGGCGCCCACCGTGGGGCCGAAACCAAAACGGTTCTCGACCCTGAAGCAAGATGGTGTTAACAAGGAGTCAGCAAGAGAACGCAGCCACCGAGTACCCCTACGGGATGCCCCGAGACAGTCTTAGGCAACAAACTAACCGGAACGAGGATGGAGCGGAAGAGTCGTATGTGGACCGGTCCCAGCAACCTAACCCGTCGTCGGCCATCAAACAGCTAAAGGCCGAAATGATGGAACTCAAAAAGCTTAGAGAAAGGGACGCTCACGAATTTTCGGTCCTGAGAAGAGAAAACGCCGAGCTCATGAGCGATAATCAAACATGGCACCCGTCGCACGATACACGCGGTCAGCCGACCCGGGACCAAGGTGAATCGTCGGGATGGTACAAGGAAGCCAACGTCCCTCGACCATCAGTTGGACCGACAACCACACAAGACCAGCAACAAAGACAGGGAAGGACTCCATTCACCCCGGACATTGTCGGAGCTCGTCTACCCGATAACTGGAAAAACTTAGCCCTGGAAAAGTACGACGGCACAACCGATCCGGAAGAGCATCTTGACGCCTTCGTTACCCAGGTCGGTTTTTACACTGACGATGAAGCGATTATGTGTAAGGGTTTCCCTCCGTCGTTGAAAGGTTCAGCACTCAATTGGTTCACTAGACTGCCTCCCACATCGGTGCATTCATTCACGGCCCTATCCTCACGGTTCGTGATACAGTTTGCCACAAGTCGGCCCCATCAGCTCACGTCAATAGCCTTAGTTAACATCCGCCAGGAGAAGAAGGAGCCCCTCAGAACATTCATGGAAAGATTCGGCAAAATGACCTTGTCCATCCAAAATCTGGACCCCGCAGTGGCCATGCATCACCTCACCACCGCATTACAACCGGGTCCTTTTGTAAACAGCCTATGCAAAAAACCGCCCGGAGACCTGGACGAACTCAGGCAACGAGCCACTAAGTACATGCAAATGGAGGAATTGGCCGAGTTCCGAAGCCAGAATCGGTCTGACCTTTTTATGGGAAGGAAAGACGCCGAGAAAGAACACAACTCGAGGCCCCGTCCCCGAGACACAGCTGATCGCGAGAAAAATAACAGAGGTCCAAGATACATGCAATACACGCCGCTTAATGCAAGCAGGGCCAAGGTGTTGGAACAAGCGTTAGCCACAGAGGTACTAGTCGTCCCGCGACGAGCTATGACCCCGCCCCGTGCCGATAAAACTAAAACATGCCAATTCCATCGAAATAGAGGGCATACTACTGAAGAGTGCTCTGCTCTTCGGGACCGTATTGGAGATCTCGTCAAGGCCGGTCATCTTCAGAACTTCATTCGAACAGATAGCCGGAGGACCGACAACCGTCCCGGAAGAAGTGAGTACAGGAGGGACAACCGAAATCGGGCACTCTCGCGACACCGGTCCCGTGAGCGCAGCAGGTCCCGAGACGCAAACGACCAGCGAGACCGTAATCCGCCCCGACGAGTGATAAATACCATTTCCGGAGGCTTTGCAGGAGGAGGAGGCTCATCGTCAGCCTGGAAAAGACACTTGAGAGCCATTAAATCAGTCAACGCTGTGGGACGAACATCCTCTGTTCATATGCCTCCTATAACATTTACAGATCAGGATTTCCAAGGTATTGACCCTATACAGGACGACCCCATGGTCATCAGCGTGGAAATTAACAATTGCATTGTCAAAAAGACTCTAGTGGATCAGGGGAGTTCAGCTGACATTCTGTATTGGAAGACTTTCGAACAGTTAGGCATTCCAAAGCAGGAGTTAACGCCGTATGATGAACCGCTGGTAGGATTTTCAGGCGAACGAGTTGACACTAGGGGGACGATAGACTTGTATACTTACTTCGGAGACAACCAGGGCAGGCGGATTAAGGTACGCTATGTCGTTGTACAAGCCAATACCTCGTACAACATCCTGTTGGGCAGGCCGTCTTTAAACAAGCTTCGGGCCATTGTTTCCACCCCCCACTTGGCCATGAAATTCCCCACAGAAGAAGGGAAAATAATCACCGTACATGCAGATTAGAAGACGGCACGAGAATGCTATTACGCCAGCCTGAAGGTACCCCCCAATCCTCAACCAAGACGAGATGTCAATGCCATTAATGATATTAGCAGAAAAGAAATAGAAGACTTAGAGCTGGACCCGAGGATAGAGCACGAAGACAGGGTCCAGCCGATTGAAACAACGGTCCCCTTCCAGCTCGGAAGGAATGAAGAACAGGTCACCTTCTTAAGCTCCCAACTATCCGAAACAGATGCACATAAAATCAAACAAATCCTTATACAGTACTCGGATTTTTTCGCCTGGACTACGGCCGACATGCCAGGAATTGATCCCAGCTTCCATTGCCATCGGCTATCTGTGTGTAAAGACGCCAAGCCCGTTGCCCAGAAGAAGAGAAAAATGGGGGGAGAAAGAGCCGACGCAATCAAAGAAGAAACAACCAAGTTGTTGCAAGCAGGCTTCATTCGAGAAGTCAGGTACTCCACCTGGCTGGCCAACGTAGTAATGGTCAAGAAATCAAACGGTAAGTGGCGGATGTGCACTGACTACACCGACCTCAACAAGGCGTGCCCAAAGGACGCGTACCCTCTCCCTCACATCGACGCACTAGTCGACGGCGCGGCCGGCCACTTTAGACTAAGCTTCCTAGACGCCTATTCCGGGTATAATTAGATACCCATGTACCCCCCGGATGAAGCCAAAACCGCATTCATCACTGATTCGGCGAACTTTTGTTACAAGGTGATGCCGTTTGGCCTAAAAAACGCAGGGGCAACCTACCAAAGGCTCATGGACAAGATTTTCCGTAACGAGATTGGGACGAGCCTGGAAGTGTATGTAGATGATATGGTGATCAAATCCGCTTCTGGGCCCGACCACCTCAGAGACCTATGCTCCATTTTTGACGAAGTACGACGCCATCACATGTGACTGAATCCAGCTAAGTGCACCTTCGGAGTGGCCGGGGGGAAGTTCTTAGGCTTTATGTTGTCACAAAGAGGGATAGAGGCTAACCCTGACAAATGTCAGGCTATCATCAACATGAAGAGTCCCATTAATGTCAAAGAGGTACAACGTCTGGCAGGACGAATAGCTTCGTTGGCTCAGTTCCTGCCCTGCATGGCGGACAAATCACGACCCATCATGTCCCTTCTAAAGAAAGCCACCAAGTTCAGATGGACCGATGAGTGCGAGTCGGCCTTCAACAGCTTTAAAGCATTACTCGCTACCCCGCCGTTGTTGATCAAACCCGACCCCCAGCTGGACATGATAATGTACATATCAGTATCAGATAAGGCCATCAGTACCGTCTTGGTGCAAGAAAAAACGGAGTAGATGCCGATTTAAAATAGAAGACTTAGAGCTGGACCCGAGGATAGAGCACGAAGACAGGGTCCAGCCGATTGAAACAACGGTCCCCTTCCAGCTCGGAAGGAATGAAGAACAGGTCACCTTCTTAAGCTCCCAACTATCCGAAACAGATGCACATAAAATCAAACAAATCCTTATACAGTACTCGGATTTTTTCGCCTGGACTACGGCCGACATGCCAGGAATTGATCCCAGCTTCCATTGCCATCGGCTATCTGTGTGTAAAGACGCCAAGCCCGTTGCCCAGAAGAAGAGAAAAATGGGGGGAGAAAGAGCCGACGCAATCAAAGAAGAAACAACCAAGTTGTTGCAAGCAGGCTTCATTCGAGAAGTCAGGTACTCCACCTGGCTGGCCAACGTAGTAATGGTCAAGAAATCAAACGGTAAGTGGCGGATGTGCACTGACTACACCGACCTCAACAAGGCGTGCCCAAAGGACGCGTACCCTCTCCCTCACATCGACGCACTAGTCGACGGCGCGGCCGGCCACTTTAGACTAAGCTTCCTAGACGCCTATTCCGGGTATAATTAGATACCCATGTACCCCCCGGATGAAGCCAAAACCGCATTCATCACTGATTCGGCGAACTTTTGTTACAAGGTGATGCCGTTTGGCCTAAAAAACGCAGGGGCAACCTACCAAAGGCTCATGGACAAGATTTTCCGTAACGAGATTGGGACGAGCCTGGAAGTGTATGTAGATGATATGGTGATCAAATCCGCTTCTGGGCCCGACCACCTCAGAGACCTATGCTCCATTTTTGACGAAGTACGACGCCATCACATGTGACTGAATCCAGCTAAGTGCACCTTCGGAGTGGCCGGGGGGAAGTTCTTAGGCTTTATGTTGTCACAAAGAGGGATAGAGGCTAACCCTGACAAATGTCAGGCTATCATCAACATGAAGAGTCCCATTAATGTCAAAGAGGTACAACGTCTGGCAGGACGAATAGCTTCGTTGGCTCAGTTCCTGCCCTGCATGGCGGACAAATCACGACCCATCATGTCCCTTCTAAAGAAAGCCACCAAGTTCAGATGGACCGATGAGTGCGAGTCGGCCTTCAACAGCTTTAAAGCATTACTCGCTACCCCGCCGTTGTTGATCAAACCCGACCCCCAGCTGGACATGATAATGTACATATCAGTATCAGATAAGGCCATCAGTACCGTCTTGGTGCAAGAAAAAACGGAGTAGATGCCGATTTATTTCATCAGTCGAGTGCTGCAAGACGCCGAGACCAGATACCAACACCTCGAGAGGACAGTCCTCGCCCTCGTTCACACCTCTAGACGCCTCCGGCACTATTTTCAGAGTCACCGTGTGCTCGTCCGAACCGACACCCCTATAACTAAGGTCCTGCGCAAACCCGAATTAGCGGGGCGAATGGTCTCCTGGTCCATTGAATTGTCACAGTTCGACATCCAATTCGAACCTCGTGGACCCATAAAAGCACAAAGCTTGGTCGATTTCTTAAACGAATTCACGTCGCTGGTAATCCCTGATTCCCACCTTTGGACCTTGCATGTAGACGGATCATCAAACCAACAAGGCAGTGGTGCAGGCATCATCTTAGAAGGACCGGGCCAAGTAGTCATCGAGCAGTCACTCCGCTTCGGTTTTAAAGCATCCAATAACCAGGCCGAGTATGAAGCCCTTTTGGCAGGTCTACGACTCGCTAAAGACTTGGGCATTTCAAGAATACAATGTTGGAGCGACTCACAAGTGGTAACGGGGCAAGTTAGCGGCATCTTCCAAATCAAAGAACCAACGCTGTTGTTTTACTTTCATGCGTTCAACAAGCTGAAGGAAAACTTCGAAGATGTTGAAGTCAAGCACACACCTCGGGAACTCAATGTAAGAGCCGATCAATTGGCCAGGCTAGCCAGCAGCAAAAAGATTAGCCATTTACGAAGCATGATCCAACAGGATTTGCCGAAGCCTAGCATCACAAAATCGGAATGTTTGCAGGTTCAGCATGGCAACCCCAACTGGATGACAGGGATAATGGGGTATCTCACAGCAGGAGCATTACCTAGCGACCCATTGGAGGCAAAAAAGATGAAGGTCACGGCGGCACGATATACCTTAATCGCGGGAGAATTATATAAAAGAGGATTCTCGACGCCCCTGTTGAAATGTTTGACGCCAGAGCAGGCACACTATGTGATTCGAGAAATCCATTAGGGCGTGTGTGGAACTCACTCGGGAGGCCGAACTCTCGCAGCCAAGGTTCTCCGAGCGGGGTATTATTGGCCAACCCTGGTAGCGGATTGCTCGAAATTCATTCAGCAATGCAAACCCTGTCAGCAGCACGGACCCTTAACGCACCAACCCCCCGAGGGGTTACATCCCTTCACCACACCTTGGCCGTTTTCCATATGGGGCATGGATATTTTAGGACCATTCCCACCTGCAAAAGGCCAAGTCAAATTTCTCATTGTGGCCGTCGACCACTTCACGAAGTGGATTGAAGCGGAAGCAGTAGCTACCATCACCGCTAACAACATACAAAAATTCTTTTGGAAAAACGTCATCACTCGGTTCGGGATCCCGTACGCCTTGATCACGGACAACGGACTGCAGTTCACTGATCGACATTTCAACGAGTTTCTGACCGGATTAGGAATCAAGCACAAAATGACCTCTGTAGAGCATCCTCAATCCAATGGTCAGGCCGAGGCAGCAAATAAGGTTATCCTTAAAGAATTGAAATGACGTCTCAGACAGGCTAAAGGTTCATGGCCGGACCAGTTACCTGAAATCTTATGGGCATATCGGTGCACACCATAGGGCTCAACCAAGGAGACCCCCTTCCGGCTAACTTACGGCACGGATGCAATGATCCCAGTTGAGGTGGGAGAACCTTCTCTCAGAAGAACGCAGTTTGATAAGGGCAACAACCAGGAAACACTCAACATTGAGCTGGATTTGGTGGACGAAGCTCGAGAACAAGCATTGGTGAACATGGAGGCCTGCCGAACCAGATTGGCGAAGAAAATCAGAACAAAGGTAAGACCGAGGAACTTCCACGCCGGAGACCTCGTATGGCGAGTCACAGGAGAAGCACGGAAGGACAGGCTCCAAGGCAAGTTAGCTCCTAACTGGGACGGTCCCTTCCGCATAATGCACAACTTGAACAACGGGGCCTATAAACTAGAAGAACTCAACGGGAAGGCTATACCCCGCACATGGAACGCTACACACCTAAAGCACTACTTTAGTTAGTCATTCTTATGTAATCTATTTCGGAGTACTCTTTTCCTTCATCAGGTTTCCCCTCTTGTAAAAATGTGAAAAGAGGTTTTACTGATGAAAGGTTTTTAACGAGGCTCCACAATCAATGAAACAATTTCCGAATCTCTTGTTTACATTATACGTTGCAATAAATCAATTCCCTCCCGAGCAACCTCGCTCGGCCAAGGATGAAAAATCAATTCCCTCCCGAGCAACCTCGCTCAGCCAAGGATGAAAAATCAATTCCCTCCCGAGCAACCTCGCTCGGCCAAGGATGAAAAATCAATTCTCTCCCGAGCAACTTCGCTCGGCCAAGGATGAGAAAACAATTCCCTCCCGAGCAACCTCGCTCGGCCAAGGATGAAAAATCAATTCCCTCCCGAGCAACTTCGCTCGGCCAAAGATGAGAAAA